GCAGCAGCAGCAGCAGCAGCAACAGCGGCAGGAGCAGCAGCAGCGGCATGAGCAGCAGCAGCAACAAGAGCAGCAACAGCAGGAGCAGCAGCAGCAGCAGTAACAGTAACAGCAGCAGCAACAGCAGCAGCAGCAGCTTTTACCTGCACTGCAACCTCAATAAACCTCGAAGCAAATTCTCTAGCTTCAATTTTGCTGAATGTTAACAGCAGCAAAACGGAGACAAATTGAGACTAAAAGGGGACAAAACAAAAAGGAGACAGCAGACAAGGGTTTAGGGTTTAGGGTTTAGGGTTTAGGGTACTGGTCAATAGCAGATATGTGGTCGCGCCTCCACTTGTGCTGCTGCTGTTTCTTTTTCTGCTGCTGCAGCAGCAGCTTTTCCGTGATCTCCGCTGTAACAGCAGCAGCAGCAGCAACAGCAGCGATATGAGCAGTAGCAGCAGCAGCAGCAGCAGCAGCAGCAGCAAGGAATAAGCATTGCGTTTCTTGCTTATGAGATGTACAGACACCTCGGCCATAAAACTAGAAAGAGATGAAAGAAGAAGAATGCAGCAGCAGCAGCAGCAGCAGCAACAGCGGCAGGAGCAGCAGCAGCGGCATGAGCAGCAGCAGCAACAAGAGCAGCAACAGCAGGAGCAGCAGCAGCAGCAGTAACAGTAACAGCAGCAGCAACAGCAGCAGCAGCAGTTAACGTACTCAGTTCAGCCTGCAGCTGCTCATTCAGCTGCAGTTGCTGACGCAGCTGCCTGACGCCACAAGCCCAGAGCCCTAAACCCTAAACCCTAAACCCCAAACCCTAGACGCTGAACCCTAAACCCTAAGCCCTAAACACTAAACTCTAAAGGCATGCTTTGCTTATGAAGAGAGAGCAGAAAAGGGTTTAGAAGTGCGTGTTTTTCAAATTCGCTTTTCTTTTCTTTTGCAAAATCCCGAGGATTTTAACTTTAGCGTTTAGGGTTTAGGGTTTAGAGTTTAGGGTTTAGGGTTTGGCAGACGCGTGTGTTTCTTCCTTTTCGGCTGCCAAGTCGTTGGCGAAGATTTGCAGCTGATCAAATTGGCTCCTGCAAAACAACCTCTCAGCGTACGGTTTAGGGTTTAGGGTTTAGGGTTGAGGTTTTAGGGTTTAGCGTTTAGGGTTTAGGGTCTAGGGCTTAGGTGCACTTCAGCCACAATGGGCAAATCATATGTTGTAAGCGCATGGGGTTCAACTGCAGCAGCAGCAGCAGCAAACAGTGACCAGATACAGATGCCACTGCTGCTGCTGCTGCTGATGATGATGATGATATTGCCGCTGCTGCTGTTGCTACTGCTGCTGCTGCTGCTGCTGCTGCTGCACCTACCTGAGCCGCTCCATAGCTGCTCTCTCGGCCTCGACCTGCAAACTCTCCAGCAGCACTTTTTTGCGCTGCTGGGCAAGTGTTTGTGAGTCGGCAGCAGCAGGAGCAGCAGCAGCAAGAGCAGCAAAGGCGGTGCAGCAGCAACGGCGACAGCAGCAGACGGAAGAAGAGTAGCAGCAGCACCCTCATTGGCAGCAATAGCTCTAGCAGCAGTCACAAAAGCAGCAGCAGCAGTCACAAAAGCAGCAGCAGCAGCAGTTGCAGCAGCAGCTGCTGCAGCAGCAGGTGCAGCAGCAGGGGCAGCAGCAGCAGCAGGCTCCGCTTACTTGTGACTGCGACTGTTCGTACTTGTCTTGCCATTCCTATGCCAGACCCTCAGACCCTAAACCCTAAACCCTAAACCCTAGATCCTAAACTTTTGCTGCTCGCCTTATCACACCCTGTAGATGCTGCTACGATAGATGCATTAAGCAAGAAAATCACGAGAGCAGCAGCAACAGCAGCTGCTGCTGCAGCAAAATCCTCAGCAGCAGCAGCAGCAAGTTTACCTTCACAGTGTGCTGCCGGTATTGTTATAACAGTACCCTCAACACCTCCCTCATCATCACCATCATCATCACCAGCAGCAGCAGCAGGAGCAGCAGCAGCAGCAGCAGCAGCAGCAGCAGCAAGTGTACCTTCAAAGTTTGTTGGTGGCTTTCTATAATAACTCTCCACTGCTCATGCTCCTTTTGCAGTTCTCCAACTTTGCTGCGGAAGGCCTTTTTGACGGCGCTAACGCGCTCCCGAGCCTGGCGCAAACCCTAAACCCTAAACCCTAAACCCTAAACCCTAAACCCTAAACCCTAAGCTCTAGCTGGCACTCTGAGAGAAACCATCAAGCTTAGTCGACTGTCAATGGTATTATTAGCTAGCTCGAAACATCTGGGGAGACAAGTTTGCTGCTGTTGTTAATGCTGCTGCTGCTGCTGCTTTTGCTGCCACAGCTGCTGCTGCTGCTGCTGCTGCTGCTGCTGGTCCCTGCTTGCCTCTGCAAGCTCTTCTGTGAGGTTTCTCTGCAAGTCTCCTGCAGTGCAGCACGGCAGAAGCAGCACAGCTATAGCTGCATCTGCTCCCAGTTGGCAGCAGCAGCAGCAAGAACAGCAGCAGCAAGAACAGCAGCAACAGCAGCAACAAGGGCAGCAGCAGCAACAGCAGCTGTAGAACGGATAGCAGCAGCCCGACCAGGTGCAGCATTGGTTTTAACAGAAGCAGCAGCAGCAGCAGGAGAAGCAGCAGCAGCATAAACAACAGAAGCAGCAGGAGTAGGAGAGGAAGCTGCAGTAGAAGCAGCACCAGCAGCACCAGCAGCAGCAGCAGCAGCGACGCACCCATGCCCTTTATGTTATGACGAAACATTTCTGCTTGCTGCTGCGCCTTCTGTCTCTCCGTGCTCAAGGCCCCAGCCTGTGGCAGCAGCAGAAACGGCAGCAGCAGCAACAACAGCAGCAGGAGCAGCAGAAGCAGTAGCGGTGGCAGCAGCAGCAGCAGGAGCACCAGCAGCACACACCGCACCAATTTTGCTGCCCACAGCTACAGGAAGCTTAAGAAGTGCAGCCATTGCAAGACGCGAGAGTGCATCAGCTGCTGCTGCTGCTGCTTCTTGCGCTGTTGCAGCAGCAAGAGCACATACGCTGCTGCTGCTGCTGCTTCTTGTGCTGTTGCTGCTGCTGCTCCTGCTGCTGCTGCTGCTGCTGCATACACCCAGGGAGTCTTGCGCAGCTTTTCTCTTCAACTTTTCCTCACTTGATTTCTTAAAGCATTTATTTCATTATTTGCTTCCTCCAGCTTTCCCCGCAAGCGAGCAATGGTGCGGCTCTGCAGCAGCAGCAGCAGCAGCAGCAGCGGCGGCAGCAGCAGCAGAAGCGCAGGCGCTGTAGTGGTCACTGTCTATTTAGACCAGCTGCAGCAGCAGAAGCAGCTGTTGCTGCTGCTGTTTAGCCTACAGGGGTCCCGCAGCTGCAGCAGCAAGACTGTGAGAGAGACAGCAGCAGCAGCTGCTGCTGCTGCTGCTTCCACAGCACCATAAGCAGCAGCATGAGAGTGTCTCGGACTTCAGCAGAACCCCCTCAGTCACCCAGAGCAGCAGCAGCGAAAACAACAAGAACAGCAGAGGCGGCAGCAGCAGCAGCAGCAGCGGTAGCAGCAGCAGCAGCAGCAGCAACAGCGGCAGCAGCAGCAGCAGGGCCTAACCAGATTCTTCTTGTCTGCTTCGAGCCGCTTCGACTGTTCTTTCTCCTCGAGCAGCTTTTGCTCTACCTAGCAACCACTCCAAACCCTAAACCCTAAACCCTAGATCCTAAACCCTAAACCCTAAATTTTAAACCCTAAACCCTAAACCCTAAACCGTAAACCCTAAATCCTAAACCTTGCAGATAGCTGCATTCAGGCACCTGGAATTCATGATGCTGCAAGGCTAAGCATCGCTAAACCCTAAACCCTAAAATTTAGGGTCTAGGGTTTGAGAGTTAGGGTTTGAGAATCTTAATTTAGGGTTTAAAGTCAAGGGTTTTGATTCAGGGTTTAGGTTTCAGGAACAACAACTTTAGATTCAGATTTTTGGTTTTGAATGTAGGGTTTCGAGTTCAGGGTCAAGGGTTTTAAAATCAGGAACTAAAGTTGAGGGTTTAAGCTTTGAAAGCTAGGGTTTAGGGTTTAGGGTTTAGGGTTTGGCGCGACCTCGGCGAGCTGATTGGACATGAGGCGCCTTTCTTTCAGATCGTGCACTACGCGGTGAGCCAGAGTCTGCAGCAGCAGCAGCAGCGTAAGTAACAGCAGCAGCACCAGTCGAGGTTGAAGCAGCAGCAGCAGCAGCAGCAGCCAAATTAGAAACAGCAGCAGCGGCAGCAGCAACAGTAGCAGCACCAGCCGAAGTAGAAGCAGCAGCAGCAGCAGTAGCAGCACCAGCCGAAGTTGAAGCAGCGGCAGCAGCAGCAGCAGCGCCACCCGAAGTAGAAGCAGCAGCAGCAGCAGCAGCAGAAGTAGCAGCAACGGCACAGCTAGCAGCAGCAGCAATAGCAGCAAAAAAAGTAGCAGCAGGGTGACGACTAGCAGCAGCAGCAACAAACAAAGAAAGCAACAGCAGCGGTAGCAGCAGTAGCCGCAGCAGCAGCAACAGAAGTACCAGCAGCAGAAGCAGTTGCATCAACAGCACCAATAGAAGCTGCAGCAGCGGCAGCAGTGGCAGCACCAGGAATGAAGAAAGGAAAGAACGTGTAGCAGCAGAAATAACAGCAGCAGCAGCAGCACTTGCAGCAGTAGCATCTGAGACAGCAGCAGCAACATCAGAGGCAGCAGCAGCAGCATCAGAGACAGCAGCAGCATTGGTAACAGCAGCAGCACCAACAACAGCAGCAACAGCAAAAGCAGCAGTAACAGCAGCAGCAGCAGCAGCAGGGGCTAAA